ATAAAACAAAACAACACAAAAATGGAGGGGATCCTTTACAGGTGAATTTAAGATAACAACAGATACCGTCTTAGTGTAAGCATGGCCCATGGGGCTGGGGATGCTGCTCAGTGCTGATCCAGCATGCTCAAGACCCTGGGTTCCATCCCCAGTACCAGACCAAAAACAGTTACAAATAACCACGGGTTTACAACTTACACACACTTTCTAGAGGTAGCATATACATATGTATGTCCGAAATTATTCTTTGTCCACCCAACATTCAAATCAAGCATCCTGCCAAGCACTGGTGGTGGCACATACCTCTACTCTACCAACACTCGGGAGGCAGAGACAGGAGGATCTCTGTGAGTTCGAGGCCATCCTGGTCTATGAAGCGAGCTCCAGGACAGCCAAGACTATACAAAGAAACCCTGTTTCAAAAAAAAAAAAAAAAAAAAAAAGCCAGGCAGTGGTGGTGCATGCCTTTAATCCCAGCACTCAGGAGGCAGAGGCAGGAGGATCTTTGTGAGTTCGAGGCCAACCTGGTCTACAAGAGCTAGTTACAGGATTGGCCCCAAAGCTACAGAGAAACCCTGTCTCGAAAAACAAAAAACAAAACAAAACAAAAAAAAACCATTAAAAAAAAAATCCCAAACCAAAACAATCTAGCATTCTGAATTTCATTGGCAGCCCTGGGAGGCCATCTCTGAGGAACAGCATTCCCTCTCAGATGAACATCTCTTTCACTTCTGTGTTTAGAGCCTAGACTCTGGACCATACGGCGTGGATTTGAATCTCTCCGCCACTTTTAGCTTTTGAGACAAAGCCTCGGTGCATAGCCTTTTCTGGTCTGGAACTCAATATGTATGCCAGGCTGGCCTCTCCATCTCTCCAGAGCTGGGATTCTAGGCATGGGTCACCTTCTAGCCTTGATCCCTCTCTGGGCCTGTTACCTCCTGGTAAACTGAGGCTCAGGATACGGTCTCTCTCACATGACTGTGAGTGCTAAATGAGATGGTACACGCGGCCCGATGGTATGAAGGTGTCAGCGCTCATTAACTATGCTAATAAAGTGTGTCCTTGGAACCCTGACTGTGGGTGGCAAGCAGCCAGGGTTTCTTAATGGCTGCCTGGCGGGGGTTTTACCCTGCCATCTCCCGTCTCTCTGTCACTAAGGAGGACACATGCTCCAGGAATGACAGAAATAAGCAGGATGAAGTCTGAAGCAAGCTCAGTGGGCAGTCATGTTCAGGCACAGCCCCGCACTGCCAATGGCCCCCACTCAATCACTCTCCTCCCTTGCCCTTGGCCTCATTCCCCCGACTGTGGCTTCATGGGCCTTTTCCTCCCGCAGGCCCCTTTGAGATACTCCCTGTTCCAGTTCCTTGACCTGAAATAAGAGCTGTTTTCTCTCAGCCTGATAGGGGATGATGAGGGTCATCTTGGGAGGAGCAGACGGGAAAGGAAGGTACCTTGGTGACAGGCCTGGGCTTTAGCCATTTGGGGGTCACGGGGCTGGGCCATAGGCCCACTGAGCTTGTTGCTGCCTTTATCCAAGGGCTCAGCATGGAGATCAGCATTGCTTGGGGGAGGTGGCATTCCCTACACACTGGAATTCCTATCTCTATGGTCACTCAGCAATCACTCAACAGGACAGAACCAGCCAGTGGTAGGAAGGGCACAGAAGATGTTCTGATACATACATAGTTCCACGATGAACTACCCAGAGCCATGCTCAGCTGACACGTGCCAGACTGGGCTCTCCTGTAATTATGTGCCTACAAATCTCCTTCTTGTACACTACGGGCCTCTAGGGCAAGCCTCTGCCACCCTGCTTTGCCGCCTCAGCCCCTGGCCTAGCACCATGGCCACTGACGGGGTTCAGCAAATGGGCACAGGAGGACAGGATAGCTGGTGTGTGGGAACTTTGTCTCTGTCTCCAGCAACATCCATAACTCCTAGGGGGCCACTGGCTCAGGCTGCTTCTCCTGAGAGCCCTGTCCTTCCTCAGCGGCAGGTTGCCTCACTCGGCCAACTCCTCTCCACAAACCAGGAGGCCACAGAATAGTGCCGCCTCTTCCCAGAGACTCCTGATTTCATGTCAGGGAGCCATCCCCGTCTCCTCTTGGTGGCTCTGGATCCTCCTCCCTTTCCTGCCCGAGCCCCAACACCTCTTTCCAAGCTACTCCTCTGCCTCCTTTCAACCAGCCCTCCTTTCTCCCCCATCTTGATCACCCCACTGTCCGTCCATCCACTCCTTTGACTCAGTTACATTTCCTGCCAGGGGCCTTTCTGGGACCCTTCCTGCCATGCAAACAAAGCCTATCACACTACAGAGAGGGACCCCAGGGGTCCTTCTGACTCTCTCCTATCCACATGAGCATCCTTTAAGTTCTGGGGTCCAGTGTTTCCCCTCTGTTTCCCCTAGCATCACAATCTGCTTCCCCTCCCCTTCCTCAAGGCCCATCTTCTGACTCCTTTACTTTGTCATTTAGCTTTCTGAGGGCAGGACTGTGTCTACTTTGTCTGTTGTTGGGTCTCTAAATATTGATCTTATGAATGCTGCATGGAGGGCGGGGCACAAAGATCTGCCTTAGGCACAGAGCGGCATCCGACTCGTTCAGGTGGAATGAGGAAGAGGGGGCAGCTGTGGAGGGGAGCCAAGGCTGGCATTTGGAACCCCTGAATCCAGTGTGGAGGTTGGCAGTCCCAACAAAGTACTTTGGTTTTCAGCACTTTACAGTTTATAAAGGGCTTTCACTTCTGTCCCTTCTTCAAACCCCGCAAGTTCTATTTTGCCCAGACTCTGAGCACACCAGTTGTGATGGTAGTCTGAGTGACCTAGACGAAATCCTTTGACATCTGAGTCAGTTTCCTCCTCTGTGAAATGGGGACTAGGCCACCTACCTCAGGAAGGTGAGTGACACACCTACAAACCACCACAGCCCTGGGCTGACTCCAGGGCTTCTTGAGAACCAGCGACTTTACTCACTTCTGGAGCAGGAACCTGGGCATTCTCAGACCACTCCCCCGGCCATGCCAGGGCTTTGTGGCTGCTCTGGCAGAGAGGTCCTGAAAGCTACAGGGCTGGCTTTTGGGAGTCTAGAGTCTTCCAGAGGCCTTCTGTAAGCAGCTCCTTAGGGCCAAGAGCAGCAGGTGCTTTGAGATGCCCACTAGGGAGGGAGGTGAGCACACCCCAAATTTTTAATGAATTTTTTGAGACAGCGCTCTCATATCCCAAGTTGGGATATGTGAATTAACTAACCTACCCTGTAGGGGAGAACGACCTTGAACTTCCACCTCTCCAATGCTGGGAGTTTAACCAACAGCAAGTTGATGAGATGCTAGGAATGTGACACTAGAGATCTACAGCTAAGCGAAGTACTCTATTTGAGCTACAACCCCAACCTAACTCCAAGCTTTTATCTCTCCCTCCTTTCTCCAGTTCCTGCGACCCTATCAATGCCTCTAGCCCAAATTCTCACTCCAGTACCGCCCGGCGGGAGCCTCCTGGTGAGACTGAACATCCAAGCCTTCTGGCACAGCCTGGGAATCTGGTGACCCCCAGATGTGAGCCCCATCTGGAACAGTATTGATGCTCTTGGTCAGATCCTCCCCAGCGCCACGCACCCTCGGGAAGCCCGTTGGCCTATTCACCCGCTCCTTCCAGGTTGTCCCTGGTGACAGTTCGTGCCCACCCGGACCCATCCTTGCGTGTCACTGACCCATCTTCTTCAGTGCCCGGAGCCCAGGCCTCTTGGTGCCGCTGTCCGGTGACGCGGGCGAAGGCGGGAGCGCGAGGGGAGCTGAGACCTGGGCGGACACCCTGGGCTCCTCGGGAGAGCGACGGCATCTTCTCCAGCTGCCGCACAGCATGGACTTGGAGGGCCCGGGATCTGTGAGCGAGGACGGGTCAACTGGCACACAGCTTGCGTCCAGCCCGCGCCCAGTGCGCGGTCCCGAGCGAAGAAACTTAGCGGCGCCGTGAGAGTCGGGAGGAGGAGACCTCGGGAGGAGGGAGAGAGGGAGGGACGAGGTGGAGGGGGCGGAGCGAGGCTGGAAGTGGGCGGTGCGAGGCGCCTGCGGGACCCCCGGGCCTACGCGTTCGCCTCTGCTAGTGAGTCCGTCTTTCCATTTCCCCAGAGATCCCCCGGATCTCCGCCACACCAGTGGCCAGAGTCCCTGTTAGAGGGGATTGAATACCCTAGGAGAGGACTGTCCTCCCGCACAGACACTTTTTTCTGGGGACTCTGACCCTGCTTCATCCACTTTTGCCGGGTCCTTTCGGGAGACAGGCAGGGGACAGATCTATAGAGGCTCGTGCTGGGCTAAAGGGTCCTTGGGGCGAGGGAAGCCCATAGAACCCCAGAACCGAGCTGCGCAGGGATGGGGGCGGGAGGCTGAGGCAGTGACGTCATGGATTAACCTCTCAGCTCCGAGCCAGTAGCCACCCCTTATTGGTGGACGTCTCGAAGTTAACTGGTCTGGACTGATCTGCGACTAAGTTTAGAGTCCCAAAATCTGGTTCTGGGGTTCAGAGCTTAAGAGGCTTGGTACACCATAGCGACACTCCATCCTTGGTCAAAGGATCTGCACCGCACTCTGAGAAAGTGTTGGTGACGTCAGCCCATGGAAAACCTCCTTTTATGGGAGCCGACGTAGTGTTAGGTGTACACTTGTGAATGCGAAGGGTGGGCTGTCCAGGTGGCTTCTCAAGCACAAGTTTTGGGTAGGGACAGAGAGCTGGCACTTGACAGCGGCCGACAGCCAGGCGTCCCACGCTAAAAGTTGCGTTTCCCGGGTCCTAGAACCGCTATCTACTTGCCCTGCTCTTTTCTGTCCCCATATATCCAAGTCCCAGCAATTCTGTGTGCTTACTTGAGTCCCCACCCTTTCTGCGATCTTGAATTTTCTTACTAATTGTCGAGCCTTCGCCTCGGCTTTTGATTTTTGATTCCTTCCAGGAATGTTCTTTTTCGTTACTTTTCTGGTTTACTCTGACTTTTTCCAAAACTCAGCTCCAGCGCCCCTTCTACGGAACGCCGGGCTCCAGGACTTGCCTCTATTGCCTGCGTAGACGAGTTCCAAGAGCTGGGTGGCGGTGTCTCGGATAGGCGGGGCCAGCATCAGTCGACCTACTCCAGTGAGTGTCCACTAGGGGGCGCGCGGACGCCGCGACCATTCAGTGTGTCCACCGGGGGGCGCTGCAGCCCGCTTCTGCTGTCGGGCGGTGCGGAGTGCGACCCAGAACTCAGCCCCGCCTGAATGGGAGAGGCAGAGTGAAACTATTTGCATACTCTTGAAAGAGCCTTTCTGACTGGGTAGGATATAAAAGCCGAATGTGAAACGGTGCCTCTCATTGGCTTTAATTTTCTTCTCGCTTTGCATCCCGCCCTATTCCTGCCCCCCTAAAACCCAGAGGTCTATCCGAAACCACTGGTTAGTGGTGAGAAGAGGACCCCGGTGTCCCGGCAGTGGGCGCGGGAAGCCAGGGTGGCTGTTTGTGCTCACCCCCCTCCCAACTCCTCCTCGCTCGCTGATTCGCCCGTTCAGGAATTGGAAATGGGCAACCTCGAGAGGTGCATCTGGGGACGTACATGGCTCTGAGACCCTTGCCACCTGCCTCTCCTTCCGCCCATGGCCACACTGGTGGTCCTCGCCACTCTGGCCCCATTGACGCTGCCTTGAGGTAGGAGAAGGACCCTCAGCTCAACTTCTGGCCTCCTGGGGTAGCATTCAGGTCTTGGGACTTTGTTTGCCTCTCTGGGAACTAGACCGGTTGTTTACAGTGCCACCGTGGACCATGAGGCCTGGTAACACTGACACTCTCTCTTGCAGAGTTGCTCCAAAGTAGGGCTCCCGAGCTTGGAGCAGCATGGGCACTGAGAGGGAAGAGCCCGACTGCCAGAAACAGTTCCAGGCAGCCGTCAGCGTCATTCAGAACCTGCCTAAGAATGGTGAGGCCGTAGGGATTGACATTTTGGGGTTCAGGATGGTTGCTTAGGCTCCGACCACCAAATGGAACCGGGCCTGAACCCTGCAATGTTTACAACCAAGTTCCTCCCTAGACTGTGGTGGGGTTCTTCTCTGCTTCCTGTTTTAGATGCCAGGGGTGGGATCCGTAGCCGCCTCTGCCCTCCCAAAGTGCCCCCTTCATCCTCTTGGAACCGGGGCTGATGTGGTGCCCTCTGTTTCCCAACCCTCCGCTCTGTTCAGGCTCTTACCGCCCCTCCTATGAAGAGATGCTGCGGTTCTACAGCTACTACAAACAGGCTACCATGGGGCCCTGCCTGGTCCCCCGGCCTGGGTTCTGGGATCCCATTGGACGTTATAAGTGGTGAGCTTCCCTCGGGCAGGGTACAAATGCCCCAGCTGTCATCCAGCTTCTGACAGCCCTCTGCCTCCTAGGGATGCCTGGAACAGCCTGGGCAAGATGAGCAGGGGGGAAGCCATGTCTGCCTACATCTCTGAGATGAAGCTGGTGGCACAGAAGGTAGTTAGGGCTGTGGCGCTCAGTCCCTAAGGGTGGCTTGCCCCTCACTCTTCCAGGGGTGCGCTTCCATGTTTCCTATCCGTTGATATCCTTTGGGAAATCACGTTTCTGTTGCCCTCTCTCCCAAGTCTGTCTGATCCTGACTGATGCCAGGTGGAGGTACATGGGAAGAAAGTATTAAGGGGAGAGGCTCCACCCGGAGGGAATTGGGGTGGGAGGAGCCAGCCTGTCCCATTAGAACCCTTCCTGCACAGGTGATCGACACAGTGCCCCTGGGCGAAGTGGCGGAAGATATGTTTGGTTATTTTGAGCCCCTGTACCAGGTGATCCCTGACATGCCAAGGCCCCCAGACACCTTCCTAAGAAGGGTCACAGGTCAGATCTCCAGGATGGGAGCCCTGAAAATACAGAGCAAACTGCCTCGGGTGTGGGCTGGTGGGTGGCTACTGTGTGGGGCAGGCAGTAGGAGCAAAGGGCCCCAGGTGTGCTATCTGTAAGGACCTCAATCAGTGCCCCATTGGGCTAGTTATCAGCTCGTATGCATGACTAATGGGGACAAGGGACTTGATCTCACTGGCAGATGCCAGCCTCTCCCCTGTCCCCGCTTCACGGGCTGTGTCTCCACAGGTTGGAAAGAGCCAGCACTGCACAGAGACGATCAGACTGCTCCAGAGCCTTCTTGCCTCCCCAAGGAGCCAGTACCTCCAAGTCCAGGTTAGCCGTTGGGCAGGAGAGATACAGAGCCATGCCTAGACTGGGAAGGAACACCTTCAGGAGAGGAGACACTTGGTGCCACGCTGTCCCCTTTATACCAGTATGTCCAGGGACACTAAGACTTCCTGTGCTTTCAGAGGCCAAGGGAAGGCTCTGAGGCCATTTTCAGGGTCTCGTGTCTTGGGCCCACAGTACCTGCTATGGCAAGAACTCTAGGTCCCCTGAGGAAGGACTTGCTACTCAGCTGCCCACTCTCCCCTCCCTCCAGAGTAGGAACCCCAATGCCAGTGCAGCTCCCCTTCACAAGAGCCTTGCCTTTTCCCTCTCCAGAGCCCCAGCCACCCAGGGACTTGGACCTGGAGGTTTTCTGTGATTCTCTGGAGCAGCTGGAGCCAGAGTTGGTGAGACCGTCCCTCTTCTCCCCTGTTCCTCCCGGGTCAGAGTTGCCCCGCCTCCACCCTGAGACCTGCGACTCAGCTCAGCAGGTCTGCTCGGAGCAGAAGGCAGCAGCTGGCCGGGAGCTGGACACTGGAGGCAACCCTGAGTCCCCCAGTGAAAAAAGTGAGCTCTCTGTCCTGCCCATGGTCCCGGTACCCCAAGCTTTCCCTGTGTTGATCTCTTAGGACAAAGGTGGAAAGTCCAGTAGAGCAGTCTGGGAGGGCGTGTGGGCACAGTCCCTGGCCTGGCGTTTTCTGAGGTTGCTGGCCTCTGTGCCCTCAGCAAAGGCAGCCTACAGACACAGGTGCATGGCGGCCGGAAGTTATCCTCTCCCTCCCATTTGGAATTCTCAGGGGGAGACTGTGAGTTGTGTGTCTGCCTTGTCCTGGTCTAGAATGTCCTGAGTGCTGAATCGCCAAAGGGACACTTTCCTAAATTGTTGTTTAGTCCCCTGAGCACACCAAGTGCGTGAGGAAGAGGACATCGTCCTCTCATTTTCAGGAGTCACACAGCTCATCGGTGGCAGTGCTAGGTCAGCCCCATGCCAGCAAGCGGCCCATTACTCTGTCCTGGGAATGGACGCTGTAAAGGCCACACTGAGGACAGAGACAGAATGCTCTTAGACTTCTCTGGACCTGCCCCGGCGTGTGTAAATTGTCTCCTGCATCCCCTGCCCTGTGTCTCTATGCTCCACAGAGGGGTTGGAAGGTAGCCTGATGGGGCCCCAGGAACTGGACAAATGGCTGGTGGGGACGGTCCGGGCCATGCAGGAAAGCATGAGGAATGTCCAGAGGAGATTACAGAGCCTGGAGAGCAAGTCCCAGCCACGTGAGCAGGTGAGTGTCTCCCTCCTTCACTGAGAGATTGGGCAAGAGCGCCTCAGGACTCCACCCTGGATTCCTCACTGGGCTGTTTGGGGCTTTGGTCCCATGGCTCCACCGTCCACTGCTCTGTGCAGAGAATTGAGTGGTGTGGCCTCTGTTCTAGTCGGGGAAGCCATCGGATGGGAGTGTGGGAAGAGCCTCTTAGGATAGGGGGACTCCTCACTGATAACCCAGCCCAAGAAAAACTAAGCTGGGAATCATCCCCAAGAGTTGGAAGGGCCACAGAGTGTCTGCTTTTGCACTGGGATGGGGTCACTGTGGGTCCTCAGCCAGCACTCCAGTTCCTAGATTTAGGGTTTGCCCCCAACTGTTCAGCTGTGCTCCTGTCATCTGCCCGCACCCCTTCTCTAAGTGTCCCTTTGTTTTGTTTTCACTGGTGTTGTTTGAGATAGGGACTCAAGCCATCACCTAGGCTGGTTAGGGACTCACTGTGTAGCCTGGGCTGCTCTTCTGTGAATCTGCCTGTCCCAGCCTTGAGTTCCAGACGGGAGCCATTCTGCCGGCTGCTCAAGTGGTGTTTGTTTGTTCCTTTTTGGTTTGTTTGTTTGGTTTTGTTTTTTTACTTTTCGAGTTGGGGTTTCTGTTTGTAGTCTTGACTGTCTAGGAACTAGCCCTGTAGACCAGGCTGGCTTTGAACTTACAGAGGTCCCTGCCTCTACCTCCCTGTGCCACCAATGTATGGCCTGCCTAAGTGTTTTTAATCCAGACCTCCCTCCCTCCCTCCCTCCCTCCCTCCCTCCCTCCCTCTCTCTCCCTCAATCCTCAATCACTGTGTGGCCTATAGGGTTGGCTTTTGTCTGTTTGTGGTGAGATCTTGCTATGTAGCCCAAAGGTTTAGAATTTACCTTCCTCCAGCCTCAGCCCCCCAAATGCTGAGGTTACAGCCTTCACCACCACGCCTGACTTGATTTCCCGTTTGCAGAAGAGGAAATAGAGGCCTGAGAACTTAGCTTGCCTGGGGGCACACAACACGGAAACCCTTGAACTGCTTTTGCTGTGTACCCAGAACCTACCAGTCTCCTCCCGTGGGCTCTGGTTAATAGCATTGATGATGCCCAGGGTAGCCCCCAGTCTCTTGCTACCCACCCTAGTGAGAATGTGGTTAAAGGGTGTTTAAACCGGGAGTAGGCTTCGTTGCTCTATTTGGAGATCTCTGGTGTGACCCCTAACCTACTGAGTATGGTGGATCTGAGCCTTGGTGACAAGGATTTCAACACTGCTTCCCCTCCCCCACAGCATTCTTTATTCCCGTGCCACCTTTTATCCACTTGAAATGTGAAGGACCCCCCGCCCAGCCACCCCCTGTACTAAGCAAGGACTCTAGCACTGAGCCAATCGTCAGCTCGTCTTTTATTTGAGACAAGGTCTTACCGAGTTGCCCATTAGCAATTAGAATGTTTCATAGATTATACAGTTGCTGGGGTTGAGCTGGAGATACAGCACAGCAATGGGGCATTTCCCTAGAAGCCCTGGGGCACTGGGCTCACTCTAGCGCCACCGAAAGTGGGAAAGAAGTTTAAACCTAGCATTTGCTAAGTAACTGAAAATCACAGACCTGTGACATGAGACCTAGTTAAAATGGGGGTGATGTCGTGTGTATGTGCATGTGCGTGTGCATGTGTGTGTGTGTAGGTCACAAGACAACTGCATCTCTCCTACTGTGAGTCCTGGAGATTAAATTAGGATCTTCAGTCTTGGCCACGAACACCTTTCTTGCTAACCATCTCATTGGTCCTCAGCACTTATTGTTGTTGTTTTAGAGATTTATTTATTATGTATAGTGTTCTGCCTGCATATACACCTGCAGGCCAGAAGAGGGCACCAGATCTCATTATAGATGGTTGTGAGCCACCATGTGGTTACTGGGAATTGAACTCAGGACCTCTGGAACAGCAGCTCTTAACAGCTGAGCCATCTCCCCAGCCCCTTGTTTTGTTTTTTTTTGAATCAGGGTTTCTCCGTGTTAACAGCCCTGCCTGTCCTAGAACTCACACTGTAGAACAGGTTGACCTTGAACTGAAGAGATCAACCTGCCTCTGCCTCCGAAGTGCCAGGATCCTTAGCATTTTAAAATCAACCAGTACAGCATACCTAAAATCCTAACACCCTGGAGGCAGAGTCAGGAGGATCCGTGAAGCTTGAGACTTGCCTAAGCTTTGAGTTCCACACCAGCCAAAAAGAAAAAAAAAGTATATTGTAAGCTTCATAAAGTTCCACTCTGAATTCTGAATATATTTTATTACAATTCTGTACTATCACCAGATACCCAGTCCAAGTTCCGATTTTCCGAGTTGTTTCAGCCGCTGTTGACCAGTCCGGGGTCACACTGTCGCTAGTTCAGCGCCATTATTTCTGTCGTTGCCTCTGCTGGAAGCAGGTGTCAAACACAGGGCATTTAGCTCAGCATCTGAGCTACTACACCCCTCAGCCTAAACTAGTCCTGGCACAGGGGCATGCAAACTGTCCCACTTCTGGGGCCTGATCATGCCTGATTTTCTTGTACACTGTATTTTCTGTGAAATGAGTTAAGATCCAAAGATTGGTTTTGTATCTAGTTAAACATTCTGGCCAGAGACTATGTGGTTTTGGTTGTAGTGTTTTGGTTTTTATTTAGATGTATGTGCATGAGTATTTGCCTACATGTATGTATATGTACCACATGTGTGCCTGGTATCCTCAGAAGTCAGGAGAGGGTGTTGAATCCTCTGAAAGTGGAATCAGAGACAGTTGTGAGCTGCCATGTGAAGGCTGGGTCCTCTGCAAGACCAGCAAACGCTCTTACCTACTGAGTCCTCTGTCTAGCCCTTGAGTTTTGTGTGTGTGTGATTTGTTTGTTTTGTTTGAGATATGGGCTCACTGTGTAGCTCTGGCTGGCCTGGAACTCACTATGTAGACCAGGCTGGTCTTGAACTCATGGTGATTTGCCTGCCTGTCTCCTCCCCTCTGCCACCCAGTGTAGTTTACGCATGTAATCCTAGCACTTGGGAGGCTGAGACAGGAGGGTTGCTGTGAGTTCCAGGCCAACCTGAGCTATAAAGTTAAGACCCTGTCTCAATAAATTAAAAACAGAAATCAGGGGCTGGAAAGATGGATCAGCTGTTAAGAGTGCTTCCTCTTCATCCGGAGGCCCAAGTTCACTTCCTTGTACCCATGTCAGACAGTTCAGAAATGGCTGGAACTTCAGCTCCAGGGAATCAGACCTTGATGGGCACCTCCCACACCTGTGGGGCAAACACACACACACACATACACACACACACACACACAAATAAAATAAAGTCATCATTGTTTTACAAACAAACAACAAACCCTATCAGAGTGATGTTCCTCACATCAGGGGACACTCGGGGACAGGTAGTACCTGGCCCTCTACCACTAAGGAGTCTAGCCTGTACTGCTGGCCTGGTGACAGTCTGGCCCCAACTCCGTGATGTCAAGTTTTCCTCTTGAAGCCACGGAATGTCCAGCTCATCAACCATTTTGCCATACTGTGTTTGACAACTGATGATCTTTGCCTTGACAGCAATTTATTTAGTGCTTGCAAAAATTTGTTGATTTTCAATTCTCTTATTCCTCCAACAGGTGAGCGTTTTGTTTTCTGTAGGGTTTTCCTGAAACAAAACTGCCCACAGCGTTTCATTTTCTTCTTTCTTGACTTTGTTCTTCCTCCTTCTCTTCTTCCTCTTCCTTTTTTTTTTTTTTTTTTTTTTTTTTGTGAGACAGGGTCCTGATGTGTAGGTCAGGCTAGCCTTGGAATTCACCTGTGATCCTCCTGCCTCAGCCTTCTGAGTGCTGGGATTACAGGCAAGGGCCACATGCCCGTCTTCTGTATCTCTTGTGTTTTGCAGTGCTAGGGTGGAACTCAGGGCCTTGCACATGCTAGGAAGTGCTGCCCCACTGAGCTGCATCCCTAGCCCAGGCTTATTTGATTGTTAACATTAATTTTATGTCTATTTTGTCTGTGTGCTGTGTGTGTGCCTTGTGCCCACGGAGTCTGAGGGAGTGTAGATCTCCTGGATTTGGAGTTATGGTGCCCACGGAGTCTGAGAGAGTGTAGATCTCCTGGATTGGAGTTATGCTGCCCACGGAGTCTGAGAGAGTGTAGATCTCCTGGATTGGAGTTATGGTTGGCTGGGAGTCATCATGTGGGTGCTGGGAATCAAACTGAGTCTCTCTCCAAGAGCAACAAGTGCTCTCTTAACCACGAAGCCATCTCTCCAGACCCTAATTAATATTTAAAGTACTAACTGGCAAGCATCAGCAATGATATAATTTCTAGTTTTCTTATGGCCACAGACTCCTAAATTTTAAAGATTCATCATTTTAATCATCTGTAATAATTCTTTTGTGTTTTGCAGTTCTGGGGATTGAATTCCTCACATGTGAGGCAGGCACCCTACCACAGAGCCATAGAGCCAGCTCTTTTGTTTTTTTTCTAAGTGTTTCTGTACATGTGTTTTGCCGGCACACACGTATGTCTATGCACCCTGTCTGTGCAGTGCAGACCTTGAAGAGGTTGTTGGATCCTCCACCGTGTACCGCTGTGTGTGTCAGCAGACAGCTTTGTGGAGCTGCTTCTCTCCTACCTCTGTGTAGGCTCTGGGGATTGAATTCAGGCAATGAGATTTGCATGGCAGGCATTACCCACAGAACCATCCTACCAACTCTTTTTTTTTTTTTTTTTTGTTTTGACTAGATTGTTACAACTTTGGAGATCCTTTCAAGCCAGATCCTGTTCTTAGACCTTAGGGACTCTCTAGTTTCTAAGTACTGGATGTGTCCGTCACACTGCCCTAGGATCGGCGACTCCTCCTAGGAGCCCTGACTCCTTCTAGAATAGATATTTGGAGTACCCCGGTTACTTGTTTGAAATATGAGCTTTGTGCCTTCCAGTACAGGTCTTTCCGGTACAGTACTACTAGCCTGGTCCTTTTCAGGCCTGGAGGAGCCGGCTTGGAAGCTGTCTCACTTGAGACTAGGTGGGGGAGGGGCACGCTTCAGGTTGGAGCACAGGTAGGTTTAGGACCCTCCCAGTCTCCGGGAGGCCGGGCCAAAAGAGGTCTGGAAGTAAGTTTCTGGGAGGCGGGCTGTCCTGAAGCCGGGCTGGCTTCTGACTCCTTCCCTCTTGGCTGCAGAGGCCACCCAGGACTCGGCCTTGGCCCCTAGGGCTCTCGGCTCCCACGCTGCTCTTCTTTATCCTGTGGCCCTTCGTTGTCCAGTGGCTCTTCCGACAGTTTCGGACCCAGAAGAGGTGACTCAAGGAAGGGGTCTCTCTAGCAACTGAGAAGGCTATGACGAGTCCCCGCGCACGTCCTGCTGTGACCTGAGCCTCCCTAGGTTTAGGGAAACAGCATTAGAAATCCCTCCTATCTTCTTTCGCCCTGGCACTCCCTCCTTTGGGGGGGGGCAATAAGACCCCACCCTTCCCTGCAACTCGCACTGACGCCCAGAGTCCCCAAGCGGTTGGATTGGCTGCTGTCATGGTGCACATCCTAGCTTTGGGGTTGGCGGTGAGCACCCTCCGACCCCACCCTCTGGGTCACCTGACTTTGCTCCTGCCGAGTCGGCTCCCTGCCAAGACTCAGCTCTTGGGCGAGTTGGGACTTGGACCTGGCCTGAAGACTGATTGGCTGAAAGGTTACAGGAAAGACTGAAGCTGGGAGGAATGGGAGGGGTGTGCAGGCTGGGGGCTGGGACGCCCCGCACACACGCACACGTCGCGCTCAGGACTTCACTAAAGATTCACGTGCAATTGAACGCTTCATTAAACAAAAGAAAACCTCCTCAGTCTGCCGTCTGGGCGCCCACGAAAAGAGCGGGAAAACGGGCGGGTCGCGCGAGACACAAGTCCAGTCCCACTCCCTAAATGCTCTGAAGAAGAGCTAGGGCTTCCTTATAAGAAATATTTTTCCTCTTCCCTAGAGAAACCAGGAGAAAACAGGTCTCCTGCTGTGGTCAGGGAGTACCTGAGCGGGGGCGGGGGTCGCTTGGAGGCTTAGAGTTCTTACCGGGAGCCGGGTGTTGGTTGGCCCCGCCCCAGGGGGAGGGCTGCTGGCCCAACTTGGCACGCCGCCCGAAGGATTGGAGTACTCTGCGGGGGGCTCCAAACGATGCTGCCTCTTCCCCAGCATCGTTTAGAAGACTTCTTAAGTCTTGGTTGTTACTTCCTATCATGTCCTCCTGATCTTCCCAGAGAACTTTCTAGAAGGCCCGGGCCCACCCACTGGGAGGGGTGGGGGCAGGTCCTCCATTGCCTGACCACCAACCCCCAGTTGTGGACCCAGGACCTGCACAGACCTCTTAAGCTGCTTGCTTGTCTTTGGAACTGTTGCTAAGAACTGCCTAGTGGCCTGGCCTCTGGTCGGATATTGTGGGCCGACCCTGCTGTGCCTGCCTGGCTGCCTCCAGCCACTAGACTGTATTCCGCTTTAAACTGACCACTCCAGCACCTTCTAGTGCTCAGAGCCTACAGGGCTAGCTATTGGCAGCTGCTACCACCTGGGCCTCAGGCTCTCCTTTGCTCTGGGGGGAAAAGGATGGTACTGGAGATCCCTAGGTGTGTTCCTCTGAGTTCCCTAACACTGTGGGTCTGAACACTTCCCCAGGCTTTGGCCATCCTTAGGCCTCATGGGAAATACAGTCACTCTGTGGGGCCTTAGCAGCAGGAGGGTAGCCCTAAAGACAGACACCACACACTGCACAGGTACTTCAGGGCACAGTCCAGGGTCACAGGAAAAGGCTGAACAGCCTGTGCTGAAGGCAGACATCAGCTGGGCGGTGGGAGCCCATCGAACTGGGACCAGGATGCAGGGGAAGTAGACTGTCAGCTTCACAGCTCACACATTGGCTCTGCAAGCTGGGACCTGAAGATCTGAGTCGGGGTCGGCTTGTTTGCGAACTAGGAATGCCTCATCATAAGGCAGGAGTTGAGACGTTTAACAATGACTGGAGAGTGGGAAATGCTTGGCAAAGGGCTAGAGGTTCTGGAACCCTACAGCCTGGTGACCATGTCTCACCCATTATAGAGACCCCACGGCTTAACACTGTCCAGTAAACTTCGTCTAGGTTCAACTTTAACGTGTACATGCCTGACTGAGTGCTCAAATCCTCCAATGCCTGAAGTTTGGAAGTTTTGACTCTCCCAGTCAAGTTGTTTCCAAAGACCTCATTTCCTCTTAAAAAAAAAAAAAATTGTTTCTAGAGACAGGGTTTCACTGTGTAGCCCTGGCTGTCCCAGAACTCACTCTGTAGACCAGGTTGACCTTGAACTCACAGAGATCCAAGTGCTGGGATTAAACCTCCACCTAGCTCTTCTTAAGAAAAAATTTAAAATACAGCCAGGCGGTGGTGGTGCACAACTTTAATCCCAGTACTGGAGAGGCAGAGGCAGGCGGAGCTGAGTTCCAGGTCTACAGAGCTAGTTCCACGACAGCTAAAACTGTCACACAGCAAAACCCTGTCTGGGGTGTAGTGTTAAGCTACATTTAATGCATGAATATTTTGTTGGCATGTATGTCCCTGTACCGCATATGTCTGGCACTGGTGGAGGTCAGAAGAGAGCGCCAGACCCTTGGAGCTGGACCGACAGCTGTGAACTGAGAGGACATGTGCTCCTCTTCTCCCGCGGCCTGTGCCCCTTTTCCTCTTTGTTCTTCATCTCCTGGTGCCTTCTACGTCATGAAGACAGAGAAAGGCAGGATTTTCAGACAGACCTGAGTTTCTGGAAGTACATGGAAACAAGCTACAATTTTCAAAACATCTGAATGTTCCCCAGGGAGCATTCCTTCTTGCTTCCCCTTGGAGACAGCCTTGCACTACTACTATCCCCCCCCCGCCCCACCCCCACCACCCTGAAGTTCCTCAACTCTTTTACACCCTGGGAGGTGGCAGGCGCCTACAGCTGCCATTATTGTGGAGGCTGAGGCAGGAGGATGAGGCCTAGCCTCAAACACAACAGAGACAAAGTAAAATGTTCTTTATGCCCTGTCCCAGTCAGCTGCTCCAGAAGGCCTGTCCACGGACTGCCCAGCCCTGGACAGCTAGGCTCACGAGGCTGCCACACACATTTCCTTTACCTGCAATCTCACCTGCTGCGCTTGGGTTGCTCATTGTAGTCTGAGCCACTTACCACTCTAAAGCTCTTTTCTGCCCTAGCAGATGACCGCTAACTGCATTGTTTGCAACTGTTTGAAGTGATTGGAAATAAAGTCCAGGGTTCTTTTTTTTGTTTTGTTTTGTTTTTCAAGACAGGGTTTCTCTGTGGCTTTGGAGCCTGTCCTGGAACTAGCTCTGTAGACCAGGCTGGTCTCGAACTCACAGAGATCCGCCTGCCTCTGCCTCCCGAGTGTTGGGATTAAAGGCGTGCGCCACCATCGCCCGGCTAAGTCCAGGGTTCTTGAGGAAATGGGGGGAGGAGGATTTTGTGTTTTGTCTTAAAATTTTTTTGTTTTTTTTCTCTGTGTAATAGTCCTGGTTGTCCTGAAGCTCATTTTGTAGATCAGGCTGGCCTTGAACTCACTGAGATCTGCCTACCTCTACCTCCTGAGTGCTGGGGCCACCACCGCCTGGTTTTAAGTGATTTTTATTATTTTACATATCTGAAGTGTTTTTTTCCTGTGTGTATGTATGAGTCAGGTACTTGCCTGGTGCCCATGGAAGGCATCAGAGCCCCTGGATCTGGAGACAACATGTGTGTGCCAGCGCTCTTATCTGCTGAGCCAGCTCTCCAGGCCTTGGATTTCCTTGGATTTTGTGTTTTGGACAAAATAAATAAATAAAAATGGTATTGGGTGTCAGGTAGATTGGACCTCTAGTTTGATCTGCCACTTGGTTGTCACGTGACCTTGGATAAGTCACTTTAGTACTCCAAGTTTTAGAGCTTTCTTACATCTAAAATGGAGGCTAAATCCTGGCCTGTCTCACGTGGCTGTGGTGGTCAAATAGTTCCATGCATACACTCTCACTGGATTCTGGCTGGGATGTAGGGAGAAATAAGAAGCAAGGGTCACTAGGTACTCAAGCAAAGGGAGCAGCAATTACACCAAGGGGATTAAAGAGAGTTCTCAGAGCCCTTCAAGTGAAGGACCAGAGTCCGAACTCCTTTTAAGGGGGAAACAGGACCCCACTTCACCCCCCACCTACCCTACGGCCCGGGGCCAAGCACACCCGTTTTCAGCGAAGGCCTCCAGCCCTCCTTCTCCAAGCCTCTTTCCCCCAATCTCATCTCTGGACAACTCCGTGCTCCTTTCGGAATCGCATTGATTTTTGAATCCCTCCCCGACAGAGATGTGCATCAACTGGCCCGAACTCTCCTGTCGCTGCTAGGGAAAGGTCTGCGGTCTCAAAAGCGACGAAGCCAAGGCCCAGGGAGGCCATTGTCGTCGGCCGAATCCGGGGTTCGGGGTGACTCCTTTGCCCCCATTACGCGCTTTCGGTGGGGCTCAGACGAAGTGCTAGACCGCGGATGTCCATTTTGCTTTCGCCCCTGGTGTGGAAATGGCTCTTGGCCAAGGTGGCTTTTCTCACCCAAGGGTCCCCAGGGCCGACGTCACTCAGGACTCGAACCCGCCCTCTCATCTCCCGAGGCCTAGCGTGAGGCTGATGCACAACAGGCCGATACACTGTGCCTTTAAGGCGGCACTTCTTAATTCTTCATTTGTTTACTTCTTCATGCGCTTTTCGGGTTTTGTTTTTTAAATAAATATTTGTCCACAATATCCTTCCGCTTATCTCTCTCCCAGGAACCCGTCACCTGCCTCAGAGACGTTACTATAATTTTAAGAATCTAATGTCAGTAATCATGACCAACATCTCTCTTTATAGGATTTAATCCTCTTTTACACTTTAGGGACTACTTTTTAGGGACAAACCATTTTTGCACTAGTTGAAAACCGTCTATAACTATCCGAACCTTTCCGCTGAGAGCAGAATACGAGATTGACTTTTAAACGCACCTTTTAATAAAAATATTCTGTCTAGGCTCCCAAAGGTCATGGAATCTTCTTGTATTCCTGAAGCACAATGGTATGGTCCAGAATCCGCCCCATCTCCCTTGCGATTGGTCTTCCCCCCTCAGAGAGACGAAGAACTCTTGCCCAATGACCGCTCACGTTTCTTCAGCGACTGCAAAGCGATGGAAGGAGGCGGCCTGGGAGACGCCCCCTACGCGCTCTACGATTGGCTACGTTGCACGGCGCGCGAGGACGGCCGGCCCGAAAGAAGAGGACTACGACTCCCGGCAGCCCCACAGCGGGACTCCGTTACGCATGCGCACAGGCGGGGCTAGCAAGCTTCTATATATAAGAGGCGCTGAGGGCTAGGAGACAGCAGTTGGAAGTTGGCAGGTGGAAAGTCAGGTTGGGAGGGGAAGCCGGAGGAGGAGGCGGAAGAAGAGCTGTCTGAAGGGGGAGGAGGGAGGGAGGAAAAGAGGAGGAGGCGGAGGAGAACTGAGCGGAGCATCGAGCCAGAGGGGAGATGAGTTTGTCTGTCCTCGGCTAAGGCTCCGGCCCGGCCTGGGGAACTGGGAGCTCGGGTTGGAGCGACACCCGTGGAAGTGGGAGGAGGTGGCTCTGGGACTTTAACCCCTTGTGGGCTCTGCGGCAGGGGATTTAACCCTTTGTGGATTCGGCCCCTCGGAGGCAGCGTCATCGGGTAGTTTTAACCCCTTCGGAGCTGGGTTTAACCCATTGGACTTAAGCCTCACATCCTTGCCCACCAACTCCTCCATCGTGGGAGCGCTCAGCGGGGAGGCGTGAAGCCCACCCATCTGAACATTACGTACTGTGCCTGCCGCTGCATCCTCTTGGACTTACTAGTTGGCCACGCTTGTGGGCGCTTAACCCTTTATTGACTTAACTCCAAGTTGCCATTTGAGTTTGCTGACAAGACGGAGGAAAGAAGT